CTGTGGGCAGAGGTTAAAACGAAAAATTGTTCTCGTTCTTATTTTTGCCATAATCATCCTGAGGTATGTTCAGTTGCTAAACGAGTTTAACAGCTACTTCCCCAAACCCATCCGCACCCCACGCCCATGGGCACCAGCTGCCCCTCCAAGCTCCCAACACAACGGCCTCCTTTCTATTTCTCTCTCCTCCCCCAGGACACGGGTCATTCCCTCAGCCCAGAACATTCTCCTCGCCTCCTCGCCCCCTCGCCAGCACTCTGCACAGCGGGCTCCTCCCCCTCCCCCAGGTCTCAGTTGAAGAGTCAGCTCCAGAGAGGCCCCGGGACGGCCAGCCCACGCAGCCTGCTCCTTTCAGGGCCACGGAGACCCGTTTCCTGGTTGGCCATTGGCCTCCCCACAGACTCCAAAGACAGCGATGCTACCTGGCGTACCCCCAGGGCACATGGCATCCAGCATGGCACAAGGCACTCGTCTGTTACCCGGGCACAGAGACTTCCCAGCTCCTCAGCTAGTGCAGGGAAAAAGCGGAATCCCAGCCCAGCCATGCCATGGCTGACCGAGGCTTGCTCAGCCCCTGCAGGACGCGGAAACCCGAACGGCACGCTGCCTCAGCTCCCGCTGCCGGTCGGTGTTAGCGCTGGGGCAGGACCCCGCAGGTCTGCCTCGGAGGCCCATGTTCTACTCTGTCAATGGAGGGGGAGTAGCCGCTCATGGCCAGCTGAGATTGGGAGGGGATACAGGAGAAGACTGCAAGACCTCCCAGCTAAAGGAGACATGTGCCAGTGACCAGAGAAAGGCCAGAAGAAATAAGGAAGAGTGACCAGCTCAGAAATGGGGAGGGGAGGGAGCCCTGACCAGTTTGGGACTCAGTGGATAGAGCGTTGGCCTACAGACTGAAAGGCCCAAGTTCGATTCCGGTCAAGGGCATGTACCTTGGTTGCGGGCACATCCCCAGTGGGAGATGTGCAGGAGGCAGCTGGTCGATGTTTCCAACTCTCTACCCCTCTCCCTTCCTCTCTGTAAAAAAAAAAAAAAAAAAAAAAGAAAGAAAGAAAATCAATAATTTATTTATTTTTTAAGAGAAGAAAAAAAGAAATAGGGGAGAGAACTCCCCTAGACACCTATTCTGGGAAGGTCTAAAGAAACAGCTGGAGAAGGCAGAGAAGCTCAGGGGGGTTCAGAGGCTGAGGCTGTGGAAGGACACTTAGTTAGTTAGGGTCCCCCCAGGCAGTGGGAGGAGCTGGTGACTCAGAATGAGATGGGAGAGGCAGGACTGAAAGGCTCTGGGCCAAGGGAGGTCAGAGGAGCCAGAGGAGCCGGCTAGGGAATGCTTTGGCAATGCTGCCCCCTCGTGGCTGCGGAATGCTTGGCCCTCAGGAAAGAACCCAGCCGTCAGTTGGGGAGTGTAGATGTAGGGATGCAGGGAGGCCGGGGAAAGAGGTGAGGGCAGAATAAACACCCCAGAACCCCGGGTTCAGCTTGGGGCTTTATTCCTCAGCAGCCATTTATGGAGCACCTAAGGTGGGTCTGGCTGCCGAGGATGCGAAACGGGTCTGACATGCCCCAACTCTCAACCACCTCGGTTCCCTAAACCCAGGCAGTGGCCAAACCCTGCCGAGTTTACTTCCCTCTTTTCAAAGCAAGACCGTGAGGGCAAAGAGGGTGTCTCAGCCATCTCTGAAGCTTCAGTACCCAGCAGAGGGCCCAGCACGTCAGAGTAATGACGGCAGCTACTACTCAGCATGTGAGAAGTACTTTCACATGCGTAGTGCATCGGAGTCTGGCCTCTCTGGTACCTAGGAGACTTCCAAATGGAGACAGATGTCCAGTAGGTGTTCGTTATAGTATGAGCCTGGGATTCTTGGGAAGATCAGGGATAGAGAAGTAAACAGGGGTATCACCCACACACAGGTGATGGTTAAAGACCAGTGCCCTCAAATTTTAATGTGCATGAGTGCCCAGGGTTTTGCTCAAATGCGGATTCTGATTCTGAGGCCTGGAGCAGGAGCCCGAGACTCTGTGAGTCTGACAGCTCCCAGGGGATATAATGCCGCTGGTCCACAGATCCCATTCTGAGTGGGGAAAATCTGAACCAGCAGTTGACAACCTGGCCAGAAGGTCGAACCTGGCCCAGCTAAGAGCCTTATTTTCATTTTTAAAGGCATTAAGAAAAAGGAGAGCTCAGTTAGTTTGAACACTGCCCTGATATGGAGTCAATGACCAGTCAGGGCACGTACAAGAAACAACTAACCAACGTATGAATAAATGGAACAACAAATTGCTGTTTCTCTGTCTCTCTCTAAAAATCAATTGAGAAAGGGAGTATGTGACAGAGGCCATTTGTGGCTCATAAAGCTTAAAACACTTATTCTCTGGCCCGGTCCGGTTTGCCAAGAAGCTCATCCAGGGACAGGATGTATTAGCTAAACAAGAAGAGGGAGAGGACAGCTCTGAACAAACTGTTATGACTTCGTCTGGGCAGGGAGAACAAAGCGGACCACAGCGCATGCATGCGAGCGCTTATGCTCAGAAGGCAGCGCTGGGAAATGAGCTGACATCTGAGGCCCCCAGTGGGAGCGGCAGAGACTGTGGGGCTCCGAACGGGGGAGAGGGCCTTGTGGTGAAGAGATAACTGACTCTCCCTTTCACTGCTTATTTTAAGGAAATAAACAACAAAGATAAAGAGGGGGCCCTAACACGTCGTACAGTACCAGAGAAGTACTGGAAAAATAAAATAAGAGCCCTAATGTGTTTGGCTCAGGGATTGAGCATCGGCCTGCAGACTGAAAGTTCCCAGGTTTGATTCCAGTCAAGGGCATGTACCTTGGTTGCGGGCACATTCCCAGTAGGGGGTGTGCAGGAGGCAACTGATCGATGTTGCTCTCTCATCGATGTTTCTAGCTCTCTATCCCTTTCCCTTCCTCTCTGTAAAAAAAAAAAAAAAAAAAAAAAAAAAAAAAAAAAAAAAAAAATCAATAAAATATATTTAAAATAAAATAAAAGAAGAAAAAGCTGTGAATTACAAAGCTGCTCTGTGGAGATCCTTCATTTTGGCTGAGGGTTGGGGAATATAGATGCAGGGATGCAGGGAGGCCAGGGAAAGGGGTGAGGACAGAATAAACACCCCAGAACCCCGGGTTCTGTCTGGCGACAGTGCCTTCTGTCAGGCTTCTGCCTCTCCGAGTTGAAGGATCTATTTGCTTAAAGGTCCATGCCTGAGAAAGTAAACACAGCTGTCCATTGCTGTCAAGCTGAGCCAATCAATCTGGCTTTCCCTCGATGGAGGACCAGGCTGCTTTGCTGGCAGTTCTGAAAGCTTTGCTGGGCTCACGTCAACTATTCACATATATTTCCCAAGGACAATAGCACCCCTTTGTGGGGTGCAGACAAGACTAAGCCTGTCAGAAAGGCTGTGGCAGGATACCCATAAAGCCAAACCATCCTTAATGCCAGAAGGCAAATACCAAGGCAGATCCCAGCATCTCCTGGTCACAAGGCACTTCAAGGTCAACCAGTGTCCCTCACACTTCCGACAAAGAGGCCTACTCAATCTATCCACACAAAGAAAACGTCCACCTCATGCCTGGCTTCTGGCATGGACCATTCTTTTTTCCCTCTTTTCAGTAAGTTACACTTGTGTCCTGGCTGGTGTGCTCAGTGGTTGGAGCATCGTCCTGTGCACCAGAGGTTCTCAGGTTCAGTTCCCATCAGGGCACCTGCCCAGCTTGCGGGTCCAATCCCCAGTCAGGATGCATATGGGAGGCAACCAATCGATATTTCTCTCTCTCTCTCCCTCTCCCCTTCTCCCTTCCTCTCTCTAGAATCAATGAAAAGCATATCCTTAGGTAAAGATGAAAAAGAAAATTTTTTTTTTTAAATATTTGGAATCAAACACAAATCTCTGGCCCTGGCTAGTGTGGCGGGTTTGATTCCCAGTCAGGACACATACCCAGGTCTCGGATTCAATCCTGGCTCGGGGCTCCTACAAAAAGCAACTGCACATCAACTTTTCTCTCTCTCAAAGAAAGTAAACACGAACAAACACACAAACCCTCCCCCCAATCTCTGTCCTTTAACCCTTGAATTCCTGCCCTTCTCAAGTCCATCCCCCTCAGTCACACTCACTGTCTCCCCTCCTGGAGAGGGAGTTCCTGTAGGGAAGTGACCAGCACACTGCTCATTCCACCCAGTGTGGCGAGCCAGTGCTCAGCCACGGGAAGATCTCCGTGTTCTGGGCGCCGGCTGGCTGTGTGATCTTGGCCAAGTCACTCCACCTCTCAAACCCTCAGTTCCCTCACCTGCAAAGTCCTACCAACACAAGGCTATTCTGAGGACAAAGTACGATGATAGGTGAAGAGCACTTGAATGGTGACTGGCACCATGTAAGGATGTAGTAAGTGCTGACATTCATTATTATCCTTCCTGTTAGTAGATGAACTGTTCTCTCCCATGGATCACACTTCCTCCTCAAAGCATACTCCACCAGAGCGCGGTTTCTCAGCCTTGTCACTACTGCCATTTCTTGTTGTGGGGGCCCCTCCTGTGTGCTTTTTTGTTTTGTTTTTTAAAAAAATATATTTTCTTTATTTTTTACAGAGAGAAAGAGAGAGGGACCAAGAGTTAGAACTATCCATGAGAGAGCATCATTGATCAGCTGCCTCTTGCACACCCCCTACTGCGGACGTGCCTGCAACCAAGGTACATGCCCTTGACTGGAATCGAACCTGGGACCTTTCAGTCCGCAGGCTGACGCTCTATCCACTGAGCCAAACCGGTTTTGGCCCCTCCAGTTTTATAGGACATTTAGCAGCATTCTGAGATGGTCCAAAGTCTCCTGTGGGGGGTGGCGATGGGGGGAGTGTAACATTCCCTCTTCCTTCCACTGAGAACTCTAGTCTCGCACTAGCATATGCAAATCCCTTCTGGAGAGGAACCGCTCCTCCCTACCTTCCCACCACCCTGCTCTTCCCACGAGCAGCCCCTCGGCCACCACTTCTCACCGCTCAGCTGCCTCGGAGGGAACAGGTGGTAGGTGCTGTAGATGTCATTGGAGAACTGCAGCTGGAGCTCAGGGCTGCCCGTCAGGAGCTGGGCCACCTGTTCCACCTGAAACGGTGTTTTCTCCAGGATCACAATGGCGTCCTCTCCGTCCCCAGAGGCCTCGTTCACCTGTGGGGAGAGACACCCGTGAGGCCTGGAGGACAGAGGCTGAAACCCCTGGGGATTTGGGATTTCCTTCCCTGCAGTTTCTCTCTCCGCAATGGCACTGTTTCTCCTCCCAGGGGAGAAATCATTAACCTGCATCCTTCCTTTTGCCAAAACCGGTTTGGCTCAGTGGATATATAGAGCGTCTGCCTGCAGACTAAAGGGTCCTGGTTTCGGCTCAGGGCTAAACTCTTAAGCAGTGCTGCAGACCGAAGACAAGTGGGGCAGAGAGAACCAGACAGAACCTTGTAAAAGACACAAGACACACGCACAGAGAAGCATGAATGCCTAGGACCAGGTCCCCCTGATCCTCCCGAAATGAGAGCTTCTGCGAAACCCTAATACCTGCCCTTGGCCTGGGCCTCCTCCCTAGTAACAGGCTGGCCCCCAGTCTCTCCACAGTCCTTCTAGAAAGCTGAGCAGACGTAGGCTGGGCCAGCCCTGTGAATGTGTCTACCCCAAGGTCCGCTGCACCCCTGATGATCAGGGATGGGAACCTTCATCTCTCCATCCCCACGACCTAGGTCGGTGCTGGCCTGTCAGCGCGCACGGCGTGTGGAATTGAATTACCCATTTAGTAACCTGCCTCCTCTGTCAGGGCTGGAGTCCCATACAGCAGGGATCGTATCTCCTGCAGTCAGTCTCCTGTCGATCCCAGGGGCACGGAGGAGCGAGGCGGTCCAGCCACATTTACTGGGTTCCTAGCACCTTTACAGATTGGATGAATACAGGATGAATGACTTGGAGAACGTCACAGGAGATTCTTCCCCTGCCATGCATCCTACAAGTGTTAGCGGTTACTTTGACAAGGGATGGATCAGAAAAATCAGCCGCACAAATATGTGATATCTTAATCAATCAATAAATTTTTAAAAAATAGAAAAATCAGCCCAAACCGGTTTGGCTCAGTGGGTAGAGCGTCGGCCTGAGGACTGAAAGGTCCCAGGTTCGATTCCGGTCAAGGGCATGTACCTTGGTTGCGGGCACATCCCTGGTAGGGGGTGTGCAGGAGGCAGCTGGTCGATGATTCTCTCTCATCGATATTTCTAGCTCTCTATCCATCTCCCTTCCTCTCTGCAAAACATCAATAAAATATATTTTTTTTAAAAAAAAGAAAAATCAGCCGCACGTGTTCAATTCCTCTACCTCCACGGGTGACCGTGTCTTCTCCTCCCCTCCCCCGCCCCAAAACAGTGCATTCCTGCGCTTTCTCCCTCACCCCCGAGTAATGCGATCGGTGCTTCCCGGCCGGAGCCCACGAGATCCGCCTCCCCGGCGGCTGTCCCCGTCCCCACCCCGGTCCCCGCCCAGGGCCGCCGACCGTACCTTGCCGTGCAGGAAGAGGATCTTGTCCCGCGCGGACTCCCGCAGCACCTTCTGCACCCTGAAGCCGGAGAAAGGAAGGTGGGCAGGGGCAGAGGTGCCATTCCCCACGCCGGCTCCCTTGGCTTCCTTGTCCTCGGTGCCGGGGGCTTCGTCTCCTGCGGCAGCTACTTCGCGCTTCCTCTTGCTCGGCGGAGGGGCCGCGTCCGCCATGTTGCCCACGGGAGAGCGAGCGCCTGCGCAGACCCCGGCGCGCCCCGCCCACCTGCGGGGGCTCGCCGAGACTACAACTCCCGGCATGCTCCGGGCGCGGAGCCCGGCGACCTGCCGGGTGACCCAAGTTCAGCCGAGGGACTGCATTGACCCCGGCGCTGAGGGAAGAGGAGAGGAGGCAGGCAGCCCTGACACAGGCGATCTCAGTGCTGTGCTGGGGAGGGCACCTCGGCTATCCGGGCCGGACTCGGAAGGCTTTGTCACCTTGTTGGAATACCGACGCTTTGACAAAAATTATACCAACTCTGATTAGTTACGTGGAAGCAGTCCTTCTAAAACCAATCAGTTGAGCCGATCTTATTTATTGGTCCACATTTAAATATATATACACGTGTGTGTGTGTGTGTGTGTGTGTGTGTGTGTGTGTGTGTGTTTTCCTGACCGGTTTGGTTCAGTGGATAGAACGTTTGCCTGCGAAATGAAGGGTCCCAGGTTAGATTCCAGTCAAGGGCAAGTACTTTCGTTGCAGGCACGTCCTCAGTGGGGAGTGTGCAGGAGGCAGCGGGTCGATGATTCTCTCTCATCGATGTTTCTAACTCTCTATCCCTCTCCCTTCCTCTCTGTAAAAAAAAAAAAAAAAAAAAAATCAATAGTTTTAAAAATATATGTTTTTATTGATTTCAGAGAGGGAGAGAGAGACATCAATGATGAGAGAGAATCACCGATGCGCTGCCTCCTGCACGCCCCACAACTGGGGCCTGAAACCCGTGGACACTCAATCACGGAGCCATGCCTTTGGGGCAGTGTGAATACATTTTTTTTTTTTGACACCCTATATATTGAGTTATAATAGATAAGAGGCTAATTGTTTCCTGAAGCAGAGCACATTAGTAGGGGAAGCTTAGGACCTGGAGTAATTAGTTATCTTCAACCAGAAACATTTGCTGCTTGTTCACAAGTTTCCTCGGTACATCCCTCACCTTCTGGGGCCGTTCAGTAGGAGGTTATCAACTGTGTGCAACACTGGGAAACAAAATGCCCTGAGGGTAAATGACAGTAGCAAAACCTGCTTAAAACTACAAGGCTCTAATCAGAAAATGTCTAGGTGTGCAGGCTCATTCCTCCTTTTCCTTCCTCCCTCTTTCTTGCTTACTTTCTCTTTTCTTTGTCGTTCTGTCTCCTCCCTCCACTCATGTTTTTTCTTTTTTGTTCTTTTCCTTTCTTTTCTCTTCTTTTTAAAAAAAATATATTTTATTGATTTTTTTCAGAGAGGAAGGGAGAGGGATAGAGAGTTAGAAACATCAATGAGAGAGAAACATCGATCAGCTGCCTCCTGCACACCTCCTACTGGGGATGTGCCCACAACCAAGGTACATGCCCTTGACCCGAATCGAACCTGGGACCTTTCAGTCCACAGGCTGACGCTCTACCCACTGAGCCAAACTGGTTAGGGCTACTTTTCTCTTCTTGAACCTGGAAAGAGTAGCTGTGTTTTAACAAAAAGCTCTGAATTCAGAGCCATGAAGTCTGGCTCCAGCACTGACTAGCTGTGCAACTTTGGGGAAGTCACTTACCCTCTCTGGGACTCCATTTTTATTTGCCAGACATTGTCCATCCTGAATAAGACAGGAAAGAACTCTACGTTCATAGAATTCATATACAAATAGAGATGAGGTTAACAAATACGATCATTTTAGATAACGATTGTGTTATTTATAGAATAAACAGCAATGCGATACTCTGGGTACACGGAGGACTTTAGATAAGGTGGTCACAGGTGGGAGCTCTCTCAGGAGAGGTGACATTGAGCTAAGACTTGAATGATAAGAAGGAAACAGCCAGGAAAATGTGTTTCAGGCAGAGTTGATATCAGATGCTAAAGACTCTAAAGCAGTAATGAGCTTGACATTATTTAGAAACAGGAGTGGCCCTTAGGTTGAGCACAGGAGAGAGATTGAGGAGAAATTTATTCATCAAGACAGTTATAATTCTGATTAAAATATCCATAGCCCTAACCGGTTTGGCTTAATGGATAGAGTGTCATCGGCCTGCAGACTGAAAGGTCCCAGGTTTGATTCCGGTCGGGAGCATGTACCTTGGTTGAGGGCACATCCCCAGTAGGGGTTGTGCAGGAGGCAGCTGATTGATGTCTCTCTCTCATTGATGTTTCTAACTCTCTATCCCTCTCCCTTCCTCTCTGTAAAAAAAAAAAAAAGAAAGAAAAATATATGTTTTTACATGTTTTCGTGGAAACATGTATAAAAATGTTTATATGCTTACTGCTTTTACTAGAATAGCAAAAAACCTAGAGACAATCCAATGTCCATTTGTAAAAGAATGCATGACTAAATAGTGGTACATTTACATGATGGACTGAAAGTGAATTTACTGCAGTTACATGCCTCAATGTGGCTAAATCCTACAAACATGATAAACAAAAGGAATCTGCAGAATACAAATCATAATGCTATTTATGTAAAGTATAAAACCATGTAAAAGTAAATACGTTGTCAGGGATACATACATATGTAGTAAATGTCTAGACAAAAGTTAAGAATGATAAATTCAAAATTCAGAACAGTGGTGACTTCGGGTGGGAGAAGGGAGGAAAATAATTAAGGGCCCAGAGGGAACACCGTAGGGGTTGTAACGTTTTACTTCTTCAGCGGGGTGGAAGGTACGTGAGTGTACATGACAGTATGCTTTCGCCCTTTTCTATGTAATAAAATAATTCGGTTAACAATATAACATTTTTTTTTTTACAATAAATACAAATATTGACTCATACAGGTGAAACTAATAATTTTATATGCCAACTATATCTCAATTACAAATATATACAACATATGTATAAATATGTTCCAGTAAAAAGGACAGGGAAGTGAGGGAAGAGGCACCATAGTACACATTGGAGGAATGAGAAATTGATTTTGGTTCAACCATCAACTTCTACTGAGAACTGATGAAGGACCCTTGCCTGTCCTATGAGGCACACGGCCCTTTGGCAGAAGAGAAATGCTGGTTTCTCTCGGGGCAGAGGCGAAGCATGAGCTCCAGCCGGACCCCTAACACGGACCCACGTGTCAAAGCGTGGGCGGGCGGGCTTTTGATCCCACATCAAAGATCCGAGTTTTCCTTTTCTTTACTCTACCTGCCTCCTGACCTCTCTAGTCTATTCAGAATGGTTTCTAGAGTGGAGTCTTTCATGACCTGCATGCAGTAAAATAAATAGAGCACGGTGCTAAGTGCACGTTGCATGTAGCTTTCTGAGGTGAGTGAAGGGAAAGAGAAGGGCAGCAGTGTGAGGGTACGAGATTTGACACCCGTGACTTCCCCCTTCCATCTGTCCCAGGGTTTCCCTGGCAATAGGAAAAACCACCCATGCTGAGTCATGCCCTCTAGGCTTCTAGCTGATTCACCAGGTGAGTCACCTGTTCGAGAGGAAGGCATCTCTAATCCCAGGGGAAGAAGACATAGGGGTGTGCCTGACTCACATCCTGTGAGGAGGAGGCAAAACATGGGTGGCCATCTCGGTAGCAGCACCTCCTACCAACTCTTTCTGGCTTCACCATGGCCTTCCTGGGGAGTCCCCAGCTTGCTCACGTACTTCCTGGGGGAGTCCCCAGCTTGCTCTCGGCCTTCCTGGGGGAGTCCCCAGCTTCCCCAATGCCTTCTTGGGGAGCCCACGATAATGGAAGCCCACTGGGCAATCTGATCCCAGCATCACATACAAAGCGCTACCACCTCTGGCTCCTTGGGCCCTGTCACTCTGTGGGAACCAGGCCCGTGCTCTCTCCCTTGGTTTCCAGCTTGTGCCAGATTCCTGCGTCCTTCGGTGATGTCAGAAGTGTCAGCTGAGGTTCTGCAGATCTGAAAGAGAGCAAACAAAATTACTGGGCTTGTCACCCTCCCCCAACACATCTCCTATAAATATTTCTTTCTTTCAGGGGCCTTTCTAAGGCGCTCCCTACAGTTTCCACCTCTTCTTTAAAGAAAAAAAAAATTGTTTTTATTGGCACTTTTTTTTTTTTTTTTTTTTAAGAGAGAGGAATGTTGATGTGAGAGAGAAGCCGATTGGCCATGTGCACCCTGACCGGGACTGAACCTGCAACCTACGCGTGTGCCCTGTCAGGGAATCACACCCACAACCTTTTGGAGACAGAAAAGGGTACTCATCCAACTGAGCCTCACAGGCCAGAGCTCCTGTAACTTTTTATATAGTTTACTTCCCCCTGTAAGATAATGTCCTCAACTTATCAGGGGCAATTCTTCCCCATTACTTTATACCTCCTCTTGCCTCAATAAACCACTAGAGGCCTGATGCACGAAGATTCGTGCAAGAACGGGCCTTCCTTCTCCTGGCTGCTGGCACCATCTTCGCTCCAGCCTGCAAACACCTTTCCACCTTCTCACGCTGCCCAGATGCCCAGGGGGGTGAGGAACGCCGACAAGGCAAGCATCCCGCCCTTGGCTGCTCAGCGCCTGAGTATGCAAATTAACCTGCCATCTTTGTTGGGTTAATTTGCACACTCACTCCTGATTGGCTGGTGGGCATCACGAAGGTACGGTCAATTTGCATATGTCTCTTTTATTAGTGTAACTGTTCCTCCAACCTGACCTGCGTGAGAGAAACTCACACTAGGAATGCTAACCATGGCTAAGACTTACCGAGGACTTGACAGGTGCCTGTTATGAGCGCTTTCCATGTGCCAGGCCCTGCTCTGAACAAGTACGCAGTGTGTATACTGATTTTGGTACATGGTATCATTCTCATATCCCAGTGAGGACACCCGGGCACAGAGGGGCTAAGTTGCTGCCTGAGAAACACACTGCTCTCAGAGCCTACGTGTTGAACTCCTGGGCTGCAGGGCTGTCGCCTGAAGGCCCAAGCAGATGGATGCTTACCCCTTCCCCGCCCCCACCCCCTCCTCACAGAGCTTACAGCGCAGGATGGCCTCCTTGACTTGGCGGAAGCCTTGGTCGGGCCCCCGGCCGTCCACGAAGTACATGAAGCGAAGCTCGGCTGGGTAGGCGGTCCTGGCCAGGCCGGCGGCGAGCAGGGGGATGGTGCGGCCCTCGGACCCCGGGGCATGGCTCAGGGCCTGCAGCATCTGGTACCTGCACCACGGGTCCCGCAGGAAGCCGGGGGTGATGAGCAGCACGCGGCAGTGGCTGCCGTCCAGAGCCCGGCACAGCTCGGACACGATGGCGCCGCCCGGGGCGGAGTCCCGCAGCTGCAGGAAGCAGCGCAGGCTGGCAGGGCTGTCCTCCAGATAGGCCACCAACTCCTGCGCGGCCGCCAGGTCCTCCTCGCTGTGGCACACGCACACGTCGTAGTCCCTGCTCCAGCGGCCGCTGCTGCTGGCAGCGCCCCCACCGCTGCTGCTGCTGCTGCCGGAGGCGCCCTCCTGCGCAGGTGGCGGGGTGGCAGGAGACTCAGCCGATGCAGCGGTGCTGAGGCCCGGGGATGGGGGGTCATCTGAGCTCCGTGGTGGAGCATCACTGGGAGTGGTTTCCTGGGGCACAGGCATCTCCTTGGGCTTCTTCGACAGCACCTGCCTGAGCCAGCCTGCGGGAGGAACTCTGCTCAGAACTGATTCTCACCAGGCACCCTCCTGCCAGCCAGAGAGGGGAGATCAGGCCAGAAATCCCACCCGCCTTCCTGCACCTGCCCACCTTCCTGCACTGGCCAATACCGGCCGACTCTCAGACTACTGCCCGCTAGGACCTGCCGGAAGTTTCCACTGTCTTACAAGTTTTCTACCCGGCTGGTGTGGCTCGGTGGTTGAGCATGGACCCATGAACCAGGAGGTCCCGCCTTGATTCCCTGTCAGGGCTCATGCCCAGTGTGCAGGAGGCAGCTGATTAATGATTCTTTCTCATCATCGGTGTTTCTATCCACCCCTATCTCTCTCTCCCTCTCTGAAATCAATAAAAAGATACTTTTTAAAAAATGTTTTTAGGAACACATAAGAGCTCTGACTGTTTTATAAGTCCTGGGATGTAATGTGCAGCAAGTGACTATAGTTAATAATATTGCATTGCAGATTAGATTTTAAAAGTTCTCTACACACAAAAAAAAACATGACACAAGATGGCGGCATAAGGTATACACCTGTACGTGCTACTTTTCACTACAACCAAAACTACAACTAAAAGACTATATGTCTATAACCCAGAACTACGGGAAAGCTGGGGGAGTAGAAGTTCTACAACTAGAAGGAAAGAGAAAAGAACACTGAGACCGGGTAGGACGTGCACAAACATGGAAAAGCAGAGGTACGGAGGTGCGCGAATCGGGCTGGCGGCTAGCAACTTGGTGCACTGTTGTTGTTTTTTCAATCCGAAGGGAGACACTAGCTCCCAACTGCTCTGAACTCCAGTTTCCGGTGAGACTCTGGGGACCAAGACTCCTACGGGGAGAAGGTGGACTGTCTGCCATCAGGTCGGAAAGTGAGGGTGGCTTTCTTGCAGAGGTGCACGCAGGAATCATTGTTTACTGTGCTGGGGTGCAGGACTCAGGGACATAGAGACTCAGAGAAGCTGACTGGCAGCCATCACTGTTTGCCATGCCCTAGTGATTCCCTGAGACCCCACCCCGCCCAATTTACAAACCCACCCAAGCTCTGTGCAGCGGCCTTTACATACAAATGGCTTGCCCTATCACAGCTTCACCTAACAAACTGCAGCTTGGGTCAGACAGCTCCAAAACTTCCAAACCTCAAGCAAAGAGGAGAAATCTGCAGATCTCGCCAAAGCTCCTGCTGGGTGGTCTCAGACAGTAGCTGACCTGCACCCCAATGGAGACCAGGAAACAGTGTACCTAGTGGTCAGTATGAGATGACACCAGATTTCAACTCCTCACATCCATAAGTAACACATTCAAGAGGCAGACTCAATGAGCATCAAAGCCCCACTGAAACAAGTCCTGCCCCATAATGGTGTTTCCAGCACAGCAGTTCTTCCATTATCAACACAGCGAGTCCCTACAGCCAATTGGCCTGAAGGTCCCCGTGATGCACTCCTCCTCTCCTCAGACAACAAAACCAAGGTGGGAGCCCCCGTTGCCAGCCTCCCTGCACCTCTCCCCTGGGCTGGGCCAGGCGGGTCCCTACCTCACCACTAGGGATACTGAGGACCACTCACAGGCGCGAGAACAGCATTAGGAGTCTGCTTTCACTCACCAGCCATCTTGCCCAAAGGCTTCTTAGACCTGGAGCCAGAAGCTGGGAAGGGGGTGGATGAGGCCATAGTGTTAGGCTCAAAACTAACCCCATGAGACCAGGCATTGGTAAGGTGGGAGAAGGGAGGAGACCCAGTCTGGATCTCATGAGACAGCCATCCTGCAAGAGACAGAGAGAGAGGGTCACTTACCTTCCTCTCAGCCCCAGTGGGTGGGCTCTGGTGGTCTTTCTTTCCTGATGCCTGACAGAGTTTCAATCTCCAGACGATCCCTCCACCCACATGGGAGAAATGCCACTGCGATTGGGGCTGATTAGATAAACCCAAGTCTGTGTGGTGCGGTGAGACTCACGGATGGGTTCGGCATGACCAGCAGGGACAGCTCTCCGCTCCACCCGGCCTGGAGTGCATCCGGCAGCTGGGGAAGGTCTGCTGGCAGGTAGCTCTTTGTAGGGACTTCCGGTGTAAAGGCTGAAATGGGAGAAGCACAATTGCTATTTGGACAAATCATTTTGTATCCAGGTAGGCAGATGCTGGGCAGAAGGGAGGAAACACATGCAGATGTGTACCTGTCTGTGTCCTTTCTGTCGGGCTTAGCAACATCTGCTTTTCTCTTTCAAGTATGCCTCTGATTCCTGCACCCATGCCGACTTCTCTTTCTGCCCCCTTGCTGCTGCAGTTCAAGTTCGTTCGTTCGTTCTTTCTTTCTTTCTTTCTTTCTTTCTTTCTTTCTTTCTTTCTTTTTTTTTAAGCATTGATATATTTTCATGCATCAACCATCCCTGTTATCTTACAGTCATCCGCTTCACGTACGGGTGTTTAGCATTTAACAATGGACAAAGCATTACTGTCCAACATAGAATGACCACATGTAGTGGTCCAACATGTTATAGAATGGCATTTTGAAACCTCTTATTTTAGTGTGTCTTAGCCAAGTTGTTCTATGTAAGGTCCCAGAGAGTTCGTTTTGACCTTTGCAGATTCAGCAAAGAGGGAGGCGAGGAAACAGCCCTCTTCCTGTTGCTCCATAGCTGTAGGGCCAAGCTCTCCACCAGCCCTGCATCTCTGGCTCTGGCTGGGACCCAGGCAGGCTCTGCCCCAGAAACCAAGGCTGAGAAAACCTCTGCCATCAGGGACATCCTGGGCATTGTGGTGGGAAGAGAACGTGGCAAGTCACCCATCTAAGGTATTCTTGGTCCTTTGCATTTCCATATAAATTTAGAAGCAGTTTGACAATCCTCCGCCACCCCACCCCTAAAACCACAACCCTTCTGGAATGAGGGACAGCACTGATCTAAATATTAGTTTGATAAAAACTGATGATACTATTGAGTCTTCTAAACCATGAGCATAGTATATCTTGCCAGTATTTAGGTGATTTTAAATACATACTATCCCACTGTTTTCTGAGCACCATGTGTCGCATACCATTGTCCTTTACATAAATTATCTCATAAACTTCACAACAATGCTGAGAAGCAGGTCCTGGTATAATGGCCAAAGGCCACCGTGAATAAAAGGTGAGGATCTAGCACTGGGCCTGCACACGCTGCTGTCTTCTCCACTATGTGGCCTTGCTTCCCTGAGCTGACAGCTGAGGGAGGGAGGAGGGGATGGTGAGGAGGGAGAGAGGGCGTGGTGGTGGGTGGATGGATGAAGTTATTCAAGGGAAGGCCAACTTAGAGGAAAAGTTTCTCAAGGTTTTTTTTTTTTTAATGTATTTTATTGTATGTTATTTTATTGTATTTTATTGTGTATTTCAAAACCAGCCAAAGGTTATCAGGTGTCAGCCCAGCACTAGGCTGAAACCCACTAGTGCTGGGCTGACGCCTAGTAACCTCTGGCAGGTTTTGAAATCCTTTTCCTGCTTAGGGGTTACTGTCTGTCGACATCTTCAGTTCAGCCAGCCAGTATATCTCTTTTCCCCCAGTACTCAACTATTGTCACTTGGTTTTATAGTATTCCAGTATTTTTGGTTGGAATTTATTTTATTTAAAAAAAAAAAAATATATATATATATATATATATATATATATATATATATATTATTGATTTTTTACAGAGAGGAAGGGAGAGGGATAGAGAGTTAGAAACATCAATGGGAGAGAAACATGGATTAGCTGCCTCCTGCACACCTCCTACTGGGAATGTGCCCGCAACCAAGGTATTATACATGCCCTTGACTGGAATCAAATCTAGGACGCTTCAGTCCGCAGGCCGATGCTCTATCCACTGAGCCAAACCGGTCAGGGCTTTTGTTGGAATTTTAAATGTGTTATTTGGCCATCGTATACTTAAACTGGAGAATCATTTGATATTTTAATGATAGCCTAAAGATTGAAAATTAGTCTAGTACGCTAATCTACTCAATAGATGTAGATTTAAAAGTTGCAGTCATATTTGCCGGGACCGGTTTGGCTCAATGGATAGAGCGTCGGCTTGGGACTGAAGGGCCCTGGGTTCGATTCTGGTCAAGGGTATGTACCTTGGTTGCGGGCATATCCCCAGTAGGGGGTGTGCAAGAGGCAGCTGATCGATGACTCTCTTTCATTGATGTTTCTAACTATCTCTCTCCCTTCCTCTCTGTACAAAAATCAATAAAATATATTTTTAAAAATTAAAAAAAATAAAAGTTTCAGTCATATTTTATAAAAATGACTTGCCCTTTAGGCTATATGTGCTGATTTGGGGGAATTGCTTTTTTTCAGTGCTTGGTTAAGAAAAAAATCCAGTTGCCAAACAGCATAGGCCACTGGAAGTGGGTTGGTAGAAGCCCTGGTGACTGACATTATGGAAAAGTTTAAACACAGGAAATAACACCATCTTTGACAGAGGATAATTGGGCAAGACAACAGGTTAACTTCCATAAGCCACACACACTGGCTGCTTCCTGGAGCCTAAAACCCCCGCTACACCTTCCTTGTTACTTTTCAGTTCTTACGCAGCTGAGGCTGGGGAGCTATTTATTACCCTCAAATATGCTTTAATCTTTACAAGATTTAACAATAGTCACATATTGAGATTTGGGAGACAGTTTCCAAGCAGAGAAGAAGATATTTTATGCACCCAACATAGGAGCATCTAAAATATGTACACAGATAATAATTTAATAAAATAAATAAATAAATAAATAAATAAATAAAGCAAGTTTGGATAGACATGAAGGGAGAGATAGACAGTAATAGAGTCATAGTAGGGGATTTCAACATCGCATTGACATCAATGAATAGATCTTTCAGACAGAAAATCAACAAGGAAACCAAGACCTTAAATGACACATTACCCCAGATGAGTTTAATTGATATTTTCAGAACATTTCATCCCAAAGAAGCAGAATATATATTCTTTCCAAGTGCACAGGGAACATTTTCCAGGACAGACCAGATGGTAGGACACAAAACAAGTCTCAATAAATCTAAAAAGACTGAAAGCATACCTGGCATCTTCTCCTGCAAGAATAGTATGAAACTACAAATTAATTACAAGAAAAAAACCTGAAAGACAGAAACACACTGAGGCTGAATAATATGCTATAAAACAATGAAATGGTTAATAACGAGATCAAGAAAGAAATCAAAAGATACATTGAGACAAATGAAAATGATAACACAACAACCCCAAATCTATGGGATACAGCAATAGCAGTCCTGAGAGAGAAATTCATAGCAATACAGGCCTACTTCAAGAAACAAGACAATTTTCATATGCAATGGGGGAAAACTAAAAGCATTTCACTTAAGATTAGGAAGTACACAGGGATGTCCACTTCTACCACTCTTATTCAACACAGTACTGGAAATCCTAGCCATAGCAATGCGATAAGAAAAAGAAATAAAACATATCCAAATTGGAAAAGAAGTGAAACTGCCTTTATTTGCAGATGACATGATACTATATGTAGAGAGAACTCTTAAGATGTGACACAAAACAAAAAAACCTACTAGAATTAATAAACTGATTCAGTGGAGTAGCAGGATACAAAATATTCAGAACTTGATTGCATTTTTATACACCAATAATGAACTAACAGAAAGAGGAACTAAGAAACATTCCCATCAAAAATGGAATAAAGCCGAAACCAGTTTGGCTCAGTGGATAGAGCGTCGGCCTGCGGACTGAGGGGTCCCAGGTTCGATTCCGGTCAAGGGCAAGTATCTTGGTTGCGGGCACATCCCCAGTGGGAGGTGTGCAGGAGGCAGCTGATCGGTGATTCTCTCTCATCGATGTTTCTAACTCTCTGTCCCTCTCTCTTCCTCTCTGCAAAAAACCAATAAAAATATATTTTTTAAAAAAATGAAATAAAATAAAATATCTAGGAATAAATTTAACCAGGGCAGTTAAAAAACCTCTACAAAAAAAAAAATTATAAGACACAGAAGAAAGAAATTGAAGATGATACAAATAAATGGAAGCATATACCATGTTCATGAATAGGGAGAATTAACATAATCACAATGTCCATACTACCCAAAGCAATCAATAGACTCAATGCAACTCCAATGAGAATACCAATAGTATTTTTCATAGAACTAGAACAAATAATCCAACAATTTATATTGAACCAAAAAAGACTCCAAATAGCCAGAGCAATCTTGAGAAAGAAGAACAAAGTTGGAGGCATTATGCTATCTAATATTAAACCATACTTCACTAAAAACAGCATAGTACTGGCATAAACACAGACACATATATCAGTGGAATAGAACAGAAAGCCCATAAATAGAGCCATGCCTATATGTCAATTAATATATGACAACAGAGGCAAGAACATACAGTGGGGTAAAGACAGTCTATTCAATAAATGGTGCTGGGAAAATTGGACAGATACATTTAAAAAATAAAACTAAACCACATTCTTATACCAGACACAAGAATAAACTCAAAATGAATTAAAGACTTATATGTAAGATTTGAAAACATAAAACTCCCAGAGGAAAACACAGGCAGTAAAATCTATGACATTTTTCTTAGCAATATTTTTTCTGACACACCCTTTCTGTATTCATGTTGTGAAATGATTGTCACAGTAAGTCTACTTATGTCACCATTCATAGTTACAGTTTTGCTTT